TATGTATATATAATATATTATGTATATATATTATGTATATATGTATATTGAAATTTATATTTTTTTCTAAGATAATTTAATTGTTTATACATCTAATCTTCTTATAAAATTTTTATATTTAAACCGTTTTTGCAAAATTATTCATTTTATTAAATAATTCCATTTCATTACAAATAATTCAAAAATAATATGCAAATTTATGCTATCAGCACAAAAATATTGACATAAGGAAAATAAATATTTTAAAATATTTTAAACAATCAAAGCATTCTTTCTCGATATATTAAAAATGTTTTACATACCAAATAAAATTATTTTCTAATTTAATCATAAAAATAATAGTCATATTCCCTCCCCTCCTCTCTCTCTCTCTCTCTCTCTCTCTCTCTCTCTCTCTTGCTCTCTCAATGATATACCACAAATCGATAAATTATCGACAGTCAAAAAAAATTGTATCGATCCATATCGACATTTGATCAATATTTACAGAAAATGAAATTATCTACACTTCATAACATTTACCGACAGTACATTCTAACTAATGACGATTTCAAAAATTCGCGCGCATTTCTTATGAATTCAAAATTCTTTGCAATTATGAAGAGAAGCAATGCAAAGAGAAATTTCATGCTAGAATCGATTCCAAAAGATTTAAAACTTTACAAACAACATTGGCATACAACAAAAAAATACATTTTTTTGCTGTTATATGATTTGCTGTTTTGTTTAATATGATTGCAATGGTTTACACATTTAGATCCGCGAGGAACTAAGAGTAAGAATCAATCATATTAAAGAATTTTACAACAGTTGCACATTTATTTTTTTCTACTGAACGCAGCTTTTATAGACATATCGCCACAATATAATATCGGGAGCATCGTAAGACATTGTTATGTCCGAATTAGGAAAAAATAGAAGCGAGAAACGCACTCACCACATCACAACAAATGAGCTGCCATATCAGAAAACGCAACGAGGATATGCTGGAATGTGCCCGATCGCGAGAATGAGAGACACGAGAGTTCATGGATCGCCCTTAGCGATCCGGCGTTTTAAATAAAGAAACTTTTGACTTTTGCTTGCTTGAAAGAATCGGTTCGGCGCGCGCGCACTCGCATGGAGTCGAAAATAGACGCAATGATACGCGACGTCGATAGCCGGCTTGACTATTTTCGAACGGTCGCTCGGCATGAGCCTCGTCCCCCGGATGGCAGGATCGTGACTTCGCACACGCATCACGACTGAAGAAGTAACTGTCCAGCGCGAGCTTACTTCCTTTTTGTTGCCGCGACATTTTGACACAAAACACTCGAGTCAGTACGCGACGTGAGTTTGACTAACACGGAAGCTGGTTCACGTATACAATTCGAAACGACACGCGGCGATCGTCAGTGAGGACTCAACGCGAAAAAGAGCGAGAATTTTTTTACACGACTCCGCGATTCGGGTCAGCACGCGACGCCATTACGGAAACCGTTTTGCGTAAGTTGTGAAAATTTCAAAACTGCGAAAGTTGACAACGTCATAGCGATCGGCGAGAACAACTTCGCGCGGTAAGGAATATATTCAGGGCACTCGAAAGTCAATCGATCGTCGCGCAGGCGTGGCGCCGCATTCAAAAGTACAAAAGCGTTAACTTATATATCTTTTGAAATTTATATTAAATCCATTGATTTTTTTTCATTTTATTCGTTATTATACAATGGCAATTTCCTAGCTGTTCTTTTACAACGTGTTGTCTTATAATTATAGAGTTTTATTTAATTATTTACTGTAAATTAAGAAGACACATATAGATAATTAATTAATAATAGTCAATTAATCATCTAATTCGTAACAATTATTAAAATAATAAACTGGACACTTATTATGATGAAATAAATCAAAATGG